TCTTCAACATCAGCAGAGTCTCTCAGAGTCTGAGGGAGCTGCTGTCTGCACACGGAGCCTGGATCGATACGCTGCCACGCCTGTTACTGTAATCACTGACCCATTCCCTGGGCACCGTTTGGCCCCTGAACTCCCGGCTCCCAGCTTTATTTCTGGTTCAAAAGGTCGTAATGATTTAAGATCACACGGTTCCCGGATCTAAGTAAAACTGCAGGAGCAGCGACGCATGCTAATGCCCACAGAAGTAACCACAACTCAGGGAAAGGAAGTAAAAATGTGACTTTATCTTTTGTTCTGACGCAGCAGAGCGATAATGTTCTGTTTAATTAACATGTGTTTAAATACAGTTTTTACACTGTTTTGGTAATGGTGGAATTTCATTTGAATCACTATTTTATTATCTATTTTTATATGTATGTAGGTTACAATGCATTTATCTTTAGCTCCTATATCATTGTGGTGTATATTTTATGATTTGATCTTGGGTTCTTTTAAAATACCAATAGTCCACTAAAACAGTCTTCGCCCTGGAACTATAGGGACTGATAGTTTGTCATCAGTTTAGATCTACAGCAGTCTTACTGGAATCAGTTTAGGATAAAGTGCTACTGGTGCATTAGTATAAAAGTCTTTCTGAATGTATTCATCATTTCTCTGAACTTAAATGTCTCTCTCTGCTTTGGCTCCTTCTTTTAAATGTTCGACAGTCCGTCAGGTGAAGTCCCCTGGGTCCTGGTGCAGGTTCACAGGGTCCTGATCTTCTGAGACTGAATGAAGCCGAGGATTATAGGGCTTTACGTGCTTCAGGAGCTTCAGGAGCTTCAGGAGCTTCAGGAGGTTGGTACTCTCACTCGGAGGATGAGATCTCTCCACAGTATTGTCTAAAGAACAGTTTTGTGCGTTATCTGAGCAGATAGGGTCATTATTTACACTCCCTCTCCCCCAGAGGCCGATCCTATCGTGTGAATCACAGTGATTTACTTCAGTGCCCTCTCCGTCAGAGCGGTCCATAGTAATCATGTCGACTTTACAGCCCCTGATTTATCGCAGCGTGCTGATACTCTCAATGGCACTCTTTCCATTTCCATATGCACTTCATCATGAGAGTGTGAAATGAAAGTTCTGACGTGCACAGTCACACGAGTGCGTCCCACGTGTACGCGTCATGTCTGCGTGTAGACTGATTACCGTGTGCGCCCACGCGCTCTGACGCCGTACGACTTCATTCAGCTCCGTCTTCAAACAGACTTCAGTAATAACGCTGAGACAGTCCTCACTTGACTTTACACAGAGTCAAGAGTCTTCTCTGTGTTAAATAATCAGGCTCTGAACCTCTTTGCTTCAATCATCGATAGAAACATCTCATGTTGGATTCTTTCATTATTTAGTTTCGGACGCTGCAGGATGAAGGATTAAGTCAGAGCTTATCCTGAACGACCTTTACATGTTTCACACTTCTGTCTTTTACACAATCTGTGATGTCACATGTTCATCTGTTCATCAGAGATCAATAAAGTTTATCTTTTATTATTCAACACATATTTCAGATTAAGACATCCCACAGTGGGACATTTCAGTAAAATATATAACCGCAGCCTCTGGGCTTCACTGAACAGAAAACACAAGACTTTAGTGATCTCACACAGTCCACAGTCCTCCACAGTCCTCCACAGTCCTCCACAGTCCTCAGTCCTCCACAGTCCACAGTCCTCCACAGTCCTCCACAGTCCACAGTCCTCCACAGTCCACAGTCCTCCACAGTCCACAGTCCTCCACAGTCCACAGTCCACCACAGTCCACAGTCCTCCACAGTCCACAGTCCTCCACAGTCCTCCACAGTCCTCCACAGTCCTCCACAGTCCACAGTCCTCAGTCCTCCACAGTCCTCCACAGTCCTCAGTCCTCCACAGTCCTCCACAGTCCACAGTCCTCCACAGTCCACAGTCCTCCACAGTCCTCCACAGTCCTCAGTCCTCCACAGTCCTCCACAGTCCTCAGTCCTCCACAGTCCACAGTCCTCCACAGTCCTCCACAGTCCTCCACAGTCCTCCACAGTCCACAGTCCTCCACAGTCCACAGTCCTCCACAGTCCTCCACAGTCCACAGTCCTCCACAGTCCACAGTCCTCCACAGTCCTCCACAGTCCACAGTCCTCCACAGTCCTCCACAGTCCTCACAGTCCTCCACAGTCCACAGTCCACAGTCCTCCACAGTCCACAGTCCACAGTCCTCCACAGTCCACAGTCCTCCACAGTCCACAGTCCTCAGTCCTCCACAGTCCACCCTCCTCAGTCCTCCACAGTCCTCCACAGTCCTCAGTCCTCCACAGTCCACAGTCCTCAGTCCTCCACAGTCCTCCACAGTCCTCCACAGTCCTCAGTCCTCCACAGTCCACAGTCCTCAGTCCTCCACAGTCCTCAGTCCTCCACAGTCCTCAGTCCTCCACAGTCCTCCACAGTCCACAGTCCTCCACAGTCCTCCACAGTCCTCAGACCTCCACAGTCCTCAGTCCTCCACAGTCCACAGTCCTCCACAGTCCTCAGTCCTCCACAGTCCACAGTCCTCCACAGTCCTCCACAGTCCTCAGTCCTCCACAGTCCTCCACAGTCCACAGTCCTCCACAGTCCTCCACAGTCCACAGTCCTCCACAGTCCTCCACAGTCCTCCACAGTCCACCACAGTCCACCACAGTCCACAGTCCTCCACAGTCCACAGTCCTCCACAGTCCTCCACAGTCCACCACAGTCCACCACAGTCCACAGTCCTCCACAGTCCACAGTCCACCACAGTCCACAGTCCTCCACAGTCCACAGTCCTCCACAGTCCACAGTCCTCCACAGTCCTCCACAGTCCTCCACAGTCCACAGTCCTCCACAGTCCTCCACAGTCCTCCACAGTCCTCCACAGTCCTCCACAGTCCTCCACAGTCCACCACAGTCCACCACAGTCCACAGTCCTCCACAGTCCACAGTCCACCACAGTCCACAGTCCTCCACAGTCCACAGTCCTCCACAGTCCACAGTCCTCCACAGTCCAGTCCACAGTCCTCCACAGTCCACAGTCCTCCACAGTCCACAGTCCTCCACAGTCCTCCACAGTCCACAGTCCTCCACAGTCCTCCACAGTCCTCACAGTCCTCCACAGTCCTCACAGTCCTCCACAGTCCACAGTCCACAGTCCTCCACAGTCCTCCACAGTCCTCCACAGTCCTCCACAGTCCACAGTCCTCCACAGTCCACAGTCCTCCACAGTCCACAGTCCTCCACAGTCCACAGTCCACCACAGTCCTCCACAGTCCACAGGCCTCAGTCCTCCACAGTCCACAGTCCTCCACAGTCCACAGTCCTCCACAGTCCACAGTCCACAGTCCTCCACAGTCCTCCACAGTCCACAGTCCTCCACAGTCCACAGTCCACAGTCCTCCACAGTCCACAGTCCACAGTCCTCCACAGTCCTCCACAGTCCTCCACAGTCCTCAGACAGTCCTCCACAGTCCACAGTCCTCCACAGTCCACAGTCCTCCACAGTCCACAGTCCTCCACAGTCCACAGTCCTCCACAGTCCACAGTCCACCACAGTCCTCCACAGTCCACAGTCCACAGTCCTCCACAGTCCTCCACAGTCCTCCACAGTCCTCCACAGTCCACAGTCCTCCACAGTCCACAGTCCTCACAGTCCTCCACAGTCCACAGTCCTCCACAGTCCACAGTCCTCCACAGTCCTCAGTCCTCCACAGTCCTCCACAGTCCACAGTCCTCCACAGTCCTCCACAGTCCTCGTGAAGTGGTCCTTTCAGTAGTTTATCCACTTGAGGTCGCAGCGAGGCAGACGAGTGTGTGTTAAGTGTTGTGGGTCATGGTGTGAAGGACATACAAATGCAGAATAATAAGTGACTCCTGGTAGGTACCATGTGCACCTGGAATCACAGTCAGACTAATAAAATCGGATACAGAACAAACGTGTGGCGCTGTACATTATCCGTCCTCCGAGTGTGAGGTCTTCTCCACAGCGGGATTTTCAGCTTGTGTCAAATACAGCACTGGTTATATTCTCTTCTCTTTTCAATGCTTCCTTTCACATCCTCATGAATAAGTCATGTCGGTGCAAACAGGAGACAATGCTATTTGGTTCAGTGCATACAGTGTGCACCAGTTTAAGGGTTTAAGAGCTACACAAAGCTACACAATGGAAAGAACAGCCGAGTCTGAGGCAGGAGGAGCTTTAGTTTTACTGAGAGCTCCGGGGGCACTGGGCATCTCAAAGGACTGTTTATCCCTGTGCAGTGGGCAGCTAATAAATAATAAATGTGTCTTTTCTTTGTGGGGCTGTACTTTGAGGCCGGGTGGGCTTTGAAAACCTCGACATTACACTGAAATTACACTAAATTAAATCTCCAAGGTGCGGCTGTCTAATGCATGGAGGTGTCACCAAAGCCACACACGACGTCCCGGCGTGTGAAAACCAGCGAGAACATTTGACAAAGTGTTATTTTCTGAACCAAGGCTGTCTGAGCCCGGACTGAAAGAAGATGATGTCATGGCGTATATCAGCTCTTTCATACAGATTCAGATAAAGACAGTTTATTCATCAGACTCAGAGACAGTAATGGACCTTGTGTTGCTTTGAACTGAATTATTTTGACTCAGATTTATTTCATATTGATTATTTAATTGATGTTATTATTATTATTTTTATGTTTTCTTTCTATAATCCTTTGAGTCATCTGTAATCACTGCAGACTGACTTTTCTCTTTTCTAGGATTTTGTCGCATATGTATGTTTGTCTGTCTGTACCTGTGTGTCTGCCTGTACCTGTGTGTCTGCCTGTACCTGTGTGTCTGCCTGTACCTGTGTCTCTGCCTGTACCTGTGTGTCTGCCTGTACCTGTGTCTCTGCCTGTATCTGTGTGTCTGCCTGTACCTGTGTGTCTGCCTGTACCTGTGTCTCTGCCTGTACCTGTGTGTCTGCCTGTACCTGTGTCTCTGCCTGTATCTGTGTGT